ATATATTAATTAATAAAATATTTGATTTTTGAATAATGAAACATCAAATCTGATTTTAGAATTCTAAATTTTTAAAGTAGTGCGTGGTGTAATTTCCACTTCAAATAAATTATGATTAGACAAAGTGGAAATTACATAAAACCATACTTTAACTATTCAACCTTCTAAAATCAGATTCAAAGTTTCATATTTCAATAATCAGAAATATTATTTTAATCAATATTTTATAAAATAAATATTTTACTAATATACTCAATTATATACACATTAATCTCCACCGGATTTCATTCCCACCGTATTTCATTCTTATTCCCTTTCTTCTCTCCACACTCTCTCTCCTCCCAAAAGCCACTGACTCTGTCTTTCTTCTCTCCACTGTCTCTCTCTGAACTCTATTCTTCTCTACCAGTACCGGCACCGCCACAGCTGCTGGGAATCATCTGAGCGCCACTACTATGAAATCGTCGTCGCTATGTCGTGCCGCTGAAGGAGGAGCTTCGTTGAAAGAGGGCCTCTGGCTCTGCGAGATCGGACCGGCGCGTTGCTATGCACGGTAGCAGCATGGGGACCGGACAGATTGTTGCGAGATTTCTATGTTTTTGGTGGTTTTAGGGAGGTTGGTGTGGTTGCGGTGGTGACGATGGTCGTTGGCGCAGTGGTGGAGGTGGCGGATTTGTGGTGTATTGGTGCTAATTTGTGTGAGTTTTGTGTACGGGCGCCGATTGTGCGTGGTGGTTGTGGTTCATTGGAGTAGTGGTGATGGTGGCGGAGATGGCGAGGTGCGGGTGGTGGTTCGTCGGGGTCGTGGTGGTGCTTGTCGCTATTGGTGCGCTGCTCTGATTTAGGGTCTGGATATGATTTTTTTGGTGTTGGTCGGTGGTGGATGTAGCAGTGTGCGGTGGTTTATGGATGGTTTGTGGTTCTAGCAAGTAGCAATAGACGGTGGATGTTTTGGTGACGACATTGGTGACAGTGGTGGTTCGTCGATGATTGTTGTGGAAGTGGTTGTCACAAATGTTGGTTACAGTTATTTGGATGTCTTTGGTGGCGGCGGTGTGGTGGTTTTTGACGGCGGAGGTGGTTGTTGGTTTTCAGAGTTTGGTGTGTGGTGACGGTGTGGCTACTGTGACGGTGACTTTGCGTTGATGTGGTGGTGGTTTTGCAGTCTGGTGGTGAGATGGTGGTGGTGGTGGTCGGGGTGTGGTGGTCGGATGGGATATGGGGTGTTTGTGACCAATAAATTGGTTAATCGATGTCCAACAAATAATATGTGACTTTAAAAAATGTAATTGTAACCCATAATTTATTAAGTTGTGATTGTAAAATTAATTGTGACCAATAAAATTTTGTTTTTGTGACTAATTAATGAATTGTGAGTTATGAAATTTTTGATTTGTGACCGATAAATGAGTTGTGACCAATAAAAATTTTATTTTGTGACTGATCAATTAATTGTGACTTATGAAATTTTTGATTTGTGACCGACAAATGAGTTGTGATTAATAAAAATTTTGATTTTGTGACCGACTAACGAATTGTGACCTATGAAATTTTTGGTTCGTGACTGACAAATAATTTGTGACTTATATAATTTTCAATTTGTGACTTAGAATCAATTAATTTGATAAGCGGAAGTTTGGTGGTGGTCACAGATTATTTGATTGATTGTGACTATTAAATTGATTAATTCGTGACAAATAAACAATATGTGACCACCAAAAAGATAAATTGTGACCAAGAATAGTGTGTGACCTAAAAAAATAATAATTCGTGACCTATAATAGTTGTGATCTGTGATTTGTAAATAACTTGTAATGTATAAATTTTTTATCTATGAAAAATAAATCGTGACTTACAAAATTTTTGAATTGTGATCATAAACAGAATTTCACCTTAAATTTTTTGATTTGTGATCCAAAAGCAAGTTGTGACCAATAATTTGATAAGTTGTGACTAAAAATTAATTCGTGACTAATTAATTTTTTTTATTTGTGACTGATGAACAAACTGTGACTTATAAATTTTTTGAATTGTGATCGTAAAATAATTTGTGACATAAATTTTTTTATTTGTGACCAAAAAATAATAAGTTATTAATTAAATTGTTAATTTGTGACCAAATTGTATAGATATGTGACTTAAATATATTTAATTTATAAAATAAACAATTAATTAATTTAATAATAAATAATTTTTAATAAAAATATGATTTTTGAAGTTTAAAACTTATTTTCTTAATTTTGAAATATGTCATACTTAATCTCCCACTTATGAAATTTTCCCTAAGACAAAATTGGACCCAAAAACTTCCAGGCCTACCGGCCTAAGGTGGCTGCCTCTTTTTCCTTAGTCTCAAGTCCCGCTTTGCTTTTTTATTTTCAATTTTATTGAGTTTTGGAGTATTTCACTTCTATATTTGTAATTATTGAGCACAAACATACCAAGAATTCATTTTCCAATTCACTTTTTGTGTTTCGATTAACAAAGAAATATGGATGAAATAGTTAATAAAGTGCTTGACATTAAAAAACATAAAAATAATACCATGGAACTAATTACAAAAGATGGAGTTGAAATCTAAGGATGTCTTGAAGAAGAAATAAGTGACAGATTTTGTCAAATGTTGTTGATACTCTCTTTGATTTCCGCATGATTAAAGACAAAATTTACAAATTTCAAGAGATTTATAAATTTACAAATTATTAAAAAAGGAATTTATTTTTTAAATTTTTAGTTTTTAATTATTTATTTGTACTTTTTAAAAAATATAGGAATATAATTGTAATTTGTTCTTTATTTTTTTTAAAAAATAGGATGATATATTTGTCATTTTATGGTTTTTAATTGAGAAAATGAATGAAAATGATGATTTTCGCAATGAAATACGAAAATGTGGGTAAAAATGTCAAAAAATGAAATGTGGAAACGTTTTGCATAATTAGTTAGTGATGTTTTGTATTAATTACTCTTTTAATAATTTATTTGAACTGATTTGCACTTTTTAAAAAAGTTTGAGAGCGTGATTGCAATTTGTTCTTTAATTTAATTTTCTTTTCTTTTTTATATTATTTAAATAAGAAGGTTTATTTATCATTTTACATTTTTTATTGGGAATTTGAATAAAAATGATGATTTCCGCAATAAAATGTAAAAATAATGGTGAAAATACCAAAAAATGAAAGAGAACGACGTTTTGCATAATAAAATTGAAATGTATGAATATTCTATGCTAATTAACCTTTTTTAGATTTAATTATCAATCAATTCAAACCATATTTGTATAATTTGAGAAACTTAACTTATTAATTCAATTAATATAAAATGAGCACGATTTTAGTAGATTATTTATTTATATTTTAACTCTTCATTTTACTTTGTTCAAAAAATATTTATTGATTTTTCCTAATTTATTATTTATCATAAATTTTTATATTTGAATGATCAAGTACTTTAAACATGAATTGAAGAATTCAAGTAGATTATTAAATTCTACAAGTTGTTAAATACAATTATTGTAAAATATAGAATAGATGTCACTCTTGTATTTCAAAAAATTAAGTAAAAGTCTCTTGGAGTTAATTTTTAAGCATCAATTCTGTGAAATAAAGAGCATTTTGTAATTAGAGAATATTTTAGAGATGCTCTATTCTCAAAGAGTTAAAATAAAGAGTTTCTTGAACTTATTTTTAAAAATTAAATTAATAAAATATAAGTTGTTTTTATTTTTAGATGATGTCTTGAAGATGCTCTATTGAACGCTAAGCCTTAAAAAATGGAACAGAATGGATACCTGACCTCCCCTTCCCTTGAACCACAAACTATTCTCTCTCAAATCTTTTTTAATCTTCTTTCCCTTCAAAGTTCAAAGGGTCATTTATAATACTTTCTTCTTTACCAAGTTAAGAATATCTTTAACAAATACAATGCCAACCGGGAGCACTGACAACTTGTGTTTCAAGAAAGAATTGAAGTCCACTTTGGTGATCAAGTTTAGCCCCATTTGCAACCAATAAGGCTATGTTTAATTGTTCCACTTTTTCATGAAAAATGGAATTTGAATTTGGTTGTCCAAAATTTTTCTTAGAATTGAAATTCTCACTTTCTTGTCACGTCAAGAATTCCCGATTACTATAGCAATTTTTTTTTTCGATTCTTTTTTTTTTTTTTTTGGCAATGGAAACAAATTATAAGAATTATTGTAAAAAAATATTTCCCTTTAGTTGACAATTTTCATGTAAAACAAAGCCAAACGAACACCAAAAGATAGATGATTTTCTTGAATTTTTTTTTTTTTTTTTTACAATGGAAACAAATTTCATTCCCAATATCAGTAAAGTCTATCCCTTTAACTGACAATTTTTATGTAAAACAAAGTCAAATGAACATAAAAAAACACTTTCGTTTCAACATTTTTCACGTGAAAAATTATACTAATCAAACACAATAATTTACAATTCTCAGGAAAACAATTTTTAGACAATTCATTTTCCTGAAATTCATTTTCATTCCACTCAAATTCCATCTTTACAATCAAACGAACCCTAAGTGTCTGTTTGGCACCCTTTAAGATTTTAAATTATTTGCTACAGTATGATTTTCACCATACGTTCACACAATAAAATATTTTACACACAAATCAATAAAATTTCTTTACATTTTAACCAAACATTCTCCAAAAAATACTATTCAAAACTCTTTAACTTTTCAAAAAATGGACAACAAACAGAGCTAAATGAGAAAAATCATATTTTGAATGGTAATTAGTAAAAATTTTGAGTTTACATCTAAAATATTTTATTGTATCAACTCGTGATTAAAAATGAGTACGTAAGAAAAAGAATTTTCAAATAAGAGCTTAAAATCATGGTTGCTGGGTCCGTCTACGTTTCAATTATTGTAGTTGTCATTATAATCAAGAGGCCAAATGCAATTGGAAACCACCAACTCCAATCTCAACAACACAAGGCCCCCACCAGAAGAATAATTAAAACAATGGTCTGTAAACAAAATATCTTTGATATCGAATCGAGCACAAGAAAATAAAGGGTAACTCTAGATGAATATCGACATAAAGAAACCACAAACAATATGCACCAATACATTAAGCTAAACTGTCCTTTAACCATATAATATATCAGAAGGGAGATCTTAAAGCTCACTTGCATCTCTCACTGAGTATAACAAAGCTCTCTACATTTCAAGAACCTTCAAACTATTATCTTGTTACAATGACTTTTCTACTTATCTTTTGCATTAGCAATGACAGACTCAGATTCCTGACAACGCTGTAATCTTAATTAGAAGAATCATGGTTGCATGTCCATTGAAGTGTCATTGGAGCCTGGAGGATTAGGATCCCTGCTTGGATAAATACTGTTCTCGTTATTGCGAGTAATGGTATTTACATAGTAACCTCCCTGCATCAAGTGATGGTGCTGGAGGCTCCGATTAACAGGACTGGAGAGAGCATTTGAGGAAATAGAGTTCCCGGAACGGAGTCCTTGCCCAACAGTTGCAGGACCAAATGAATTAGGACATACTTGAAATCCTGTGTGAGCAGACTGCATTGCAGTTTGAGACTGTTGTTGCTGCTGGAATTGCAATCTTGGGGAGGACGGGGGTTCTTCCATTCCATAACTGAGCTCATTCTGCAATGTCACAAATAGACCAAGAAGCATTTAAAAGGATGAATTCGAATAAGGAATTGACAAACATATTCACAGTACCAATCATAACCCCATCGACAAAAAATAGCAGTACCATGATTTTTAACACCACACAGATTTTAGAGAGAAAAATCCCACATAAAAACATTAACCAAATGCAGATAAAGTAAATAAAGTGTGGTTATGTTCATGTTCTGCCAGGTATTTTAGCAGACCACATAATGTAAACATGGCAAAAGACAAACAAATATGATTTGAGCAGCCCAAGGGATAATTTTGTGTGTGTTCTCTGGAAAAATAACATGTTTTACAGAAGCTTTTCTAGAATGCTGAAAGTCCGTTTATGACGTGGCTCCATCAGCCAGATGAGAAAAACACTAGTTTTTCCCTTTATTAGAAAGGTTTTAACTGTTAGATATGGCTTCACTTAATTATTGATTAAAAAATATTCACATCATCAGAAAAATGTTGTGCTTTGGCACTATGAAGTAACTAATTTTAGAAACATTTCCAGAAACACGGCAAGTAAACGTGCCTTGGACATTGCAACATGCAGGAAATCAGGGCCACTTTTTCAATCAATATTCCCAGAGAAGTAAGCATACACCAGAAAAAAGGCAAAGCATGTTATTTGAGATTTGACTAATATTGAGCTAGGAAAATAGAACAGGAATTAAACAATTCAACATGGCTATTTTGCGACAATAAAAATTCTTATTAGAAAGGCGGAATTTAATTCATACATGCATAAAGATGAAAATATAGTGGATGTCTATATAGTGATGCTATCGAGCAATTCCACAATTGGACAGAGAGAGGAGAGCTGAATGAACATAAGAATAGCTCTTTACAGAGTTCATTACGTTCATAGCAACTCCATGGTTTGAATACATTTACCTATGACATGAAGTGTCCATAAGATCAATTTCTTCTATCAAATAGGACAGAGAGCCTACTAATTTATTTTTTTTCGACTTATGCTTTACTCCCAAGAAAGTTAGAACAGAAGCAAGGAGAACCCTTGCGTCTTTGCAGAGTATTTGAGAACTTATAATTTACCAAAGCAGGATAATTTACATATTTTCAAACACTAACAAACTTCCTAGCTGGTGAGACAGTTCATAATGTGAAGATGAATTACCGTACATAACAAAACAAATTTTCATACCACAAACATGACAAGCAATATCAAGTTCAAATGAAAATAATTACTATCATAACTAAGGGCACATTTGGCATAACTTTTACTTCTTGTAGAAGAGTTCTTAAATGAAGCTACAATATTTATTTTTTTGAAAACTAATATTTAAAAAAAAATTTCATTATGGAAGTGCTTTTAGAGTAAGTCACATTGAACCAACTTCTTCTAAAAGCTCTTCTAATTATCAAAAGCACTTTAACAAAATTAGCCAAACGGGTACAAAAGCAACTTTTGGGTTTCAAAAACTCCTTTTGGCTTTTCAAAAGTAATGCCAAATGGGCCCTAATTCTTGTTATTCAACATGTGACAAAGTTCATACGGTAGCAAAATCAACCAGGAAGTACCTGGCAAAATAACCACATGCAACTCCTTAAATTATATGGACCTGTAAACTTGGTAGATTAATTCAATATTAGATGAAATACTTTGCCATAAGTGACCTGAAGTTATTAGCTCAATGGAACGGTGAAATCCATTAAATTGAAATATGCCATCTTTTGAGTGCTAAATTTAGTTCTATACCATAAAAAATCCTTGCACATTAAAGAATCTAGATACGCCTATCAGGGAGAGGGAGGGAGAAGAGAAACCGGATACAACAATTTCTAAAACTCTAATTCATGTTATAAGATTCACGGTTTCTGTCTTCAGAAACTTGGATCAGAGTTGTTCAAAAACAAAGATCCAATTATGATGGCAGTAAAACCTCAGGCTAGTAACTGTTATTATTCATTACAGTTTTATTATTAGAACTTTTCACAACAAATATGAGCAAGAGCCATTCAAATGATATGTAATTTTACTCTTAATTTAGGGAGGTAAGCGAAAAGAAACTACACTTATCAACACATAGCATTCAAACTCAAAACCAACATTGTCAATACAAAAACCAGAGGCCCATTAGCTGCTACAAAAGCATATATGCAGAAGATAATCAATATATATCATAAGAATCAGCAAAGATGCACCAAGTATATCATAATGACCTCGACAAATTGCAAAGAGGTATAGGCATGCGTTTTGAGGTTATGAATCATTAAAATAATGATAACAAGATAAGAACCTGAATATAAGCACAAATATCTCCGGTAGTCACTCTAGCCCCATCTTCTTGTTGCCTTGAAATCCAATTATAAAGTTTCTCCTGCAATAGAACAGAAAATAAACCTCGATAAATAACTTAGGAAATTAGAATCTGTCTTAATACGCAGTACATGCGAAAGATATCGTAAAAAAAGAACAAAATATCATAGATTAGTATTGAATACTAATTCACATTCCAAATTGAGTAAAAGGTGTGCTGAAATTACTCTATTCTTCAAAGAGATCTTAGAGATGCATAATTTAACATCAAAATAATCACCCAACGTATATAGCCAGTAACAAGCGCTCAATTGGAGGAATCCCATCAGGTAAAGTCGATAAAACTAAGTCATAAATAATAAACATCATAGGTTACTGACCAGCCCCTGGCGTTCACCGGCCTGAAAGGAGAGGCGCTGGTGGTGCATGGCCTGGGTGTAAAGCTGGGAGAGGGAGTTGGCAGCGCTGCAGAAGGTAGAGTACATGGTTCGATCCACCTCATCTAGACGCGTCGCATCGGATTTCCTCTTCTTTGCCATTCGTAAAAATGAAGTTCAAGAATTATTCTACAAAACCCTAGATTGGTTGGCGTGAATAATTTATCGGATGAATACGGTGCTTTTTCTGAGTTTTTGGGACATTGCGTTACGGAAGGAAATGGAAAGTGAGAAATCGGGTGGCAAAGGCTTTCGGTGGCCCAGTGGGTCAGTTTTGTGCTTTTTGAAATTCCACGTGACAAATTCCCAAATGAATCATGCTATTAGCCTCCGTTTATTTCTTATTCTTTCCCTATTAAAATGAAAAATATAATTGTTATCGTCACATCAAATCACCAAATTTAAATTTCTATTTCTTGTGTGCGGTCCATAACGACAATATTTTTTATTTTTATTTTTATAAAAATGAAAAATAAACGCCCCTTAGTAATTGTTCATTGCAATAATAACACTACGTGACATATATATAGCGGGTGGTTATTTGATACATGTATATCACGTAAGGTGATTACGATAATTAGCGATTACAAATAGTATTATTCTTTCCTAATTAATGTTTGCTTCCCACCAAGAGGGATGTTTGTAGATGGATCCCCAAATATCATTCACTATTCCCTTTTTTGAGCCCCATCCTTCAATCGAAATACATTTTCCAACTATGATTTGACCCAATTTTAATCACATATTTTTTTTAATATAATAATATTACATGTAAATCCAAAATATTTCTTTACTTTTTAATCACACATTCTACAACATAACACTATTTTAAAATACATTTTTTGAACAAAAAAAATAATAATAATAGAGCTCAAACAACCCCTAAAGCACCTTGGTCCCCATTCAAATTTTTGTAACTATGTCAACTTTCATTTTATGAGCATATCATCAAGATGTGTCAAACGAATGGAATGGGTCTAATGATATGATCCAAGAAATGCAACGAGCTAATAAGAGTTTGACGTACATCGAGAAGAGGCTAAGGTTAAGTTCAAGATTGATTAAAGTCAATAAAGCCGTGCAATCACTTGTTCAAGTTACGGAGTCCAAAGAGGATGACGTTAACAAAAGAAATGAGAAAAAACAAAGTGGATCAACTTGATTCGAGTAATGGATGATGAGGCTAGACATTACAACTATGCGACCACATAAACCCTTGCAGAAACCATAGATGGGAATTACGGATCTTCTATGCGACTACATCTAGTCACACTATGCAACCGCATAGTTCAAGCGGAACGCAATTTTTCCAATTTTTCACAAAATCTCCTAATTTAAATAAAACTCTATATTTTTGATAGCTTTTATAATCCTTAAAATTTGATTTCGTTTTAACTAGGTATACGAAATCTTTTATTTATCTAGAACTCTAATTTATGGTAACTTTTAGTATTACTAGACTTTAATTCCGTCTTTAATTAAGTTTTATGGATTTTCTATAAATAGGACTCATTACTTCATTGTAAACATTCATTCAACAAGAGAAAATTATTTTGTGAGCAATTTTGCTTTCAATTCATTGTTTTTCATTGAACTAAATTCCAAACTTATCAAGAATTATTTTTTTGTGGCGTTCAAACAAAGTGGGTGAGATTCTTGAATCTCTTGATCTAGAGATCAACATGTTGTCGATGATTGTGCTGTTTTCTTAGGTCAATATTTTTGGGTGAAACTTTAAATATTGATTCTTGGCTTTCTTAGGTTTGAATCAATCTTTTTGTGATTTTTGAGGCTATTATTGCTACATGGGTTCACATCAGTTGGTATCAGAGTTTAGACTCCAAAAATCGAGGTTATATCATTTTTCCGTCTATCTGAGTCTTTTGTTTTTATCCTTATCGTTCTTCGTGTTCTTCGCATTCTTCATCTTTTTAAGTCTTTCAATCCAACAAAGGTTCTCTACAATTTTAAAAAGTTGTTTGTACACTAATTTAGTGTCCAAATCAATTTTTTTTTTCGAATCTTTGGGCTCCATTTTAAATTCTCTTGTATTTAGCAAAAGAAAAAAAAATTGCATAAAAAAAAAAGAGTAGTTACCAAAAAAATAAAAATAAATAAATAATCAAAAGTGCAAATCTGAATTCAAGAATCACTTTCTTGTATTAAATACTAGTTCTCATTCAAAGTTTCAAGTTCCTTTGTTTTGCTATTACTTTCTTGAGTCTTCTAAAGTTACAAAATTCTCGCTCATATCCTAGTTTGAATTCTTCGAGAATAAAACTTGGTTTGAGATCGAATTAATTATTTGAAGCACTTGGGCGAAAGCATTGAGTGAAAAATGCAAAAGTGGTGAGACCATTAGAGAAAAAAAGTCAATTTGAGTGATACCCGAGCGTATACACGTTAGGCAAATATTAATATAAATTTAGGATGTCTGACAATCACGTTTCTACCTCGAGCAGGAACAAAAATCAAGTCAACATGTCGGAGAAGGTGATACGACAGTTCAAGAGATTGTTTGAAGATGTGAGGGACTGGTTGGTTAGGTAGGAGCCGTGGATGGAAATGCAATACTCGTTGCTTGCTAATTTACGTAGGGGAGTTCTCAATGCAAGAGATAGGATAGGCGGGAACCTAGGGTAGAGAATCGTGTAGAATATGAGGCTAGTAGTGACATTGATGAAGGAACTTTGGCGGATGCTAAGATAGGAAGAATGAGGGATAGATGAGTTAGGCATGAAAGGAAGAGTAGAGATCTTGGTGGAGATGGAGTTGACGAAAGTATGTGCAACGTCAAAATGACAATTCATTCATTCAAAGGAATGAGTGATCCGAAAGTTTACTTGGAGCGAGAGAAGAAGATAGAACTAATATTTGATTGCCATAACTACTTGGATGAAAAAAAGGTAAAAATTGCAGTACTTAAATTTATCGATTATGTTATTACTTGGTCGGATCAATTAGTGACAACTAGAAGGAGAAATCGTGAGAGGCCTATTAATACATGGGATGAATTGAAGACCATCATGAGAAAGAGGTTCGTGCCTAATCATTACTATAGGGAGTTTTGTAAAAAATTGCAAAGCCTCTACCAAAGATCTAGGAGTGTAGAGAACTATCATAAGGAGATGGAGATGATCATAATTAGAGCGAATATTGAAGAGGATATGGAAGCCACTATGGCCCGATTTTTAAATGGTTTGAATAGGGAAATAGCAACTGTAGTGGAATTACAACATTATGTAGAGTTGAAGGGCATGCTACATGTGGCTATGAAGGTGGAGAGACAATTGAAGAGGAAGGGGATAGCTAGGTATCCATAGAGTTATTCGGTTCTAACTTTTCTTGGAAACAGAAGTGGGATATTAACAAAGGAGATGGAGCTGTTTCAAAGGGCATAACTGAGCTATTGAAAGGAAAGGAGGAAGTTGCTAGCAAGACTACACCCAAGGCTGATTTCCAACCTTTTAGGAATCGAGATATCAAATGCTTTAAAGTCTTGGGATCATGGCACATTGCTTTTATGGAGAAGTAGTGAGTGATAGTTATGGAGATAAGATGCTTGAATTAGATGTGCTAGTGATGGTGATTAATATTTTGCTAGTCCTCAAGCAAACACTAAACTAAAGAGAATAACGAACAAGCATACAAACTCAATTAAAATTTTGCTAGATATCTTGCCTTTATAGCTCAAGATTAAAAACATAGCATCAATGTCATGAATTACTTCAAAGTTATAATGCATAAGCTATTTTTCATATATTCAATGCAAAACGGGTGTGTGTATAGAGATTAAGTGCAATGTTGTACAATAATAAGTTGATTCAATTCTCGACCTTAAAAGTCAAATATTGCCTTACTTCGCTTGGGGGATTCACACACTTCCAAACTTATTTTCTTTTCTCTTCTCAATTGTGTAATCTAAGATGGATTTTCAATACTAGTTTCTTACACCGCGTAAATTTGGTTAGATTTTACTAATTGTAGTTCAACATATCAATAAATGAGTGTTTTCCTTATTTTTCACTGCTTCAACCTTCAAGAATCAACCAAGTTACTTACCCCTTATCAAAAGGCCTAATCCTTTAAAACAAGTGTTCAGGGTTCAATCAAGATATGTGGTGTCCATTATTTTCAGATATAAATTTATTCTTTTAATGACCCTTCATGCGGACGTCTCTCCATTAAACTTTCTAAATAACCCTTGTCGTTAGCTTTATATCGATGACTCCCAAATCAAATAATTTTAGGGTATCAAGTTTTAGATCCTTCCAAACTTAATCACTCGAGTCGTAAAGGATACGAAGAGACGTTTCACAATGAGATTATTAAAGTTGTTTTTATTGGAATCTTTTTTCTTCTTCTTTTTTTTTTTGCAGTGATTAGTGCAATGCCCATTGTTAAACACATATTCTCGAAAATTGACCTCTAATTTAAGGCTTTTACCAATTTTCATCATAGTAGTCTCAGACAGTTCACACAAAAAATTAGCATACATAAAATCCATATTTATCTCCAAGTTTCTCTACAACAGTGCAATCATCCAAACATCATAAGTTTAGTTTTTAGGTATAATTATGTTTAATGATTGTTGGGTTTGGCATCTAAGTTCTCTAATCTAACCTATAAACATGAATCAACCTACTCCTGTCTAGCGCCACAATCAACTCACGTGCAAGAATATTTTTTGTTTCACACGAATAACCAAAAACTTAACTCGAACACATAACTCGTCCACAATTCATAAATTAACACGTCTTCAATTACAGAGATCAATGTAGGCAAGGCTATCTAACTCACACAAGCATGCAAAACTATAATTTATTTTAAAACAATGCACATAAATCAAAAAAATAAAATAAAAAAATTTGCACACAAATCACACAAAATTAAAAAAAATTAGGCAATTAAACAATTTTTAATATACCCCCTCAAACTTAAACTAAACATTGTCTCCAATATAAAATTAAAATAAAGGATGAGAACTTCCCTGATTTGCTTGAATTGCCAATGACGGTCTAGTGCTATGATGTTGAATTTGATGATGCTTTTTCGAACTTTTCCTTCCACAATTGACATTTATCATGTTTTCTCCTTTACAATGTTGGTATAAGTGTTTCGCGACATCATGTTCCTGAAAAATCAAATTATAGATACTAAATCATGAAACATGGGTTACTTAGTTTAAAAATCTAAAAATCTAATAACCAACTTGATTACTCAAAAACCTAAGGGGAGACGGGCTATGGCTGATAAATTCGTAAATAAACTATCCGATAATTCAAAAAAATAAACAAAAATAAAAAAT